GTGTAGCCATAAACTCTGAAAATAACCTCTAAAAGCACATTTTTCCAGCTATATCACATGTATCTGATGATTTTATTAACTCATACCCTAACTACTCTTGTTTGAGTTTCATAATTATGCTTAATAAGGACAAAAATATGAAGCATCTCATTTACACAACTACTGAGATACTAGAAACAGCGAGTTCTGCTTTTAGTCAACGAAATACCTGAGTTAATCCCATGCCAAAGGCAAATTTTGCAAGAGCCTTTAGACGTGAGAACGAAAGCTCCAAGCCCATCTCAAATAGCTGAAAGGGAAAACATAACAGTCATAATTACAGAAGTACAATTTGAGAGGTATGTATGGACCAGCATATCATCATGTGAGGACAATAAGCTTCTTTGAAAAATCACATTCTTTAACTTTTAGGGGAAGCCCAAATTTCAGAAAGAAAAATGACATACGTCTAAGAAAACATTATGCAAAGAAGAGGAACACATCTTCCATAAACCTTCCCGGATATTTCCCCGTCCATAATCCTCACTAAGTCCAGCTAATGATCCCTAAATACGTGTATCTTTCTTACTTTTAGTGTCACAGTTAGGTGCATACAATAATCAACCAGTAGGAAACTAATTTAACCTGGATGTACTTATGTTTGAGCATCAAAAACTAAAGACAACTAGAGATTCTTTTCCTTCTTTCTTTTTCCTTTGTAAAAGAAAAAAAAAAAAAAAAAGGAAACGAAGGACACCACCCCCTTGCACAGGAAGTACACGGGTGACCAGACGGAAAAAAAAAAATTGCTTATTGGTTCATCCCAAGTGTTAGACAACCATTGGACCCAAAAGCTTAAGTTGGTAAGGAATGGTCCAACAATGTATATCAAGCTAACACCATCCCTCACCTGCAGCCCCATCCTGAAGAGGCAGAGAATTACAGAGAGGGAAACATATAGTTGCAGCAGCCCCACTCTGCACTTCGCTAACCAATAAAAAAGTGGGGTATGCCCGGTAGGAGGTTTCAAACCCATGACATCATGCAATCAAGGGTCTGATAATATGTTAGATAACCATTTGACCCCAAAAGCTTAAGTTGTTAAGGAATAGACCAACAATGTATATTGAAAATGACCATTTGGTCTAGTGGCATTTAGTCTCACTTTGTATGAGATGCTGATTTCAAATCTCAAGGACAACAGAAGTTTAATAGAGAGAGAGAGAGAGAGAGAGAGAGAGAGAGAGAGATGAACTTTCTGTATTCATAAACATGGTACAGATACAGCATAAGAATAGAAGGCCACAGAATTATGAACTGTTCCAACAGCACAACAAGAAAGAATGCTTACCAAGAAAAGAATCCCCCATTCAGACAAAATTTTCACATCGGTAAGATTTCGAATCAAGCCAAACTGATTGAGTACAATACCGGCGAAGAAGAAACCGAGTATCTGAAAACCATAACATATGCTGTCTGTCATCTACGAAGCCATCTCATGTAATTATCAAAACACTGTTATATGCAAACATGAGTTTCCAAGTTTGCACATAAAAACGCACATGGGTAGACACTGGGCACATATGTGTAAAAAAAAATTACATGGCATATACACAAATAATCCTCCATTACCACATGCTTGCCCATATTGCACACAACTTATGAAAACAAAATGTGCAATCATCTCAATGCCAAAAGACAATAATCCGACGAAGAATAAAAAGTTTAAAAAACAAAAGGCAAGATACAACAACAATCTTACAGGGCTAGCTTTGATGATCTTGAATGCAGGAACGATAATGACTGTAACAGCTAAGAACGTCAAAGTATCAAATCCCAAATCATTAATAACATCAACAGCAGTGGCAACATCAAGTGCTGCATACATCCGAAATCTTTCTGAATGGGCCAGTCCATGGTTTGAGAAATCAAGTCCTCGCCAGCTGTATACAGAAGCAGCTAACAAAGGATTTCCTAAGAAATTTCTTGAAACAAAGGGGGGATGCCTTATCTTGTAATTAGTGGCATATGATATTGGATTCACTTGCTGGTTGCTAGAATATGGAATAAAAGAACGCCCACAAAACCGTGATATGGCAAGAGAGCAGGCCATAAATGGGCTCTTTTGTTTGATAGTGTTGTATCCCTGCAAGGAAGAGAGCAAAAAGATATAGACTAGTGCTACCACTATTTAGTTTTCTAATAAGAATGTGAATATAGAACAGTTTCAAATTACTAGTTGACTCCAACGTCAAAATGAAGTATAAAGAAGCATGGAAAACTTAATGGCTTTGGATCTTAAACAATAATTCTGAAACTTTGGATGATTTCATACTCTGTTTTCCTGTTGTGGATTGAAAACTTTGACATATTATTTGGAAAAATTGGCAAAAGTTTTAACAAATAAATGACAGTTAGAATAATTTTACAAATTAATCAGCATTTCAAGTCCAAACTAACTGTCAATTTTTCCAAACTGCTATAAATTGTTCCCTGTGGTCACCTTAAGGGAAAAAAACATTCTTTAGTTCATCATTTGGTAGACATGAAATAAAGAGAATAAGTAACAAGACTGAAAAGTTACCTACGGTTTTCAAATCTTCTTGGGCAATCCAAAAAAAAAAGTATTTAGCTCCAAATATATGAGCTGAAGTCGAACAATGCGCTCACAAATACATACCAAATATACTACAAATAACTTGAATTCATCAAGAAACTTAACTTAGTAACATTGACATGAAAAAATTATGTTTTTATATTAATGCTTTTTCTTTTCCTTTTTTAAGAAAAGAAACTCAATCAGCCTTATCCACAAATCAGATGGGACTTAGTGTGGTAACTCAAGTCTCAAGAAAGCAAAGAAATGGAAACACTAATCTAAGAAAAATTCCAAATAATGAGTGGAGCTTAAAGTTTGAAACTTCGAATTATACAATGGATGTTAGAGGGTACCTTATAGCTTTCAAAATAAGTCACCGACTCCAACATAGTGCTGAGGCTGATGACACAAGAATACCCACATTGAAGAAATCACAAGGACTCTTTGCTGTAAATTTACAAAACTCAGAAGTTATTTTGTATATATTTGAAGAAAAACACACAGAGCTGAGTCAGTTGGCCCCTCTGAATCTCCGTCCTTTTTCAGCGTTCTGAGGAACTTATTGGCCCAAAAGAGCCAGACCCAAAAAAGAAAGAGAACCAAAAGATGAGGACGAGAAGTACACACGTTTGAGGCCTGTGGGTCTGAAACTATGTATGTATGAGAAAGAGAGATGGAGATTAATCCAATAAGCCTTGTATGTGACTGCGTTTGACAGTTCGTGGAGGAAAGGCAGGCGTTGGGCAACGAAATGGATTTCAACGTCTCCTATTCACTCGGAAGCTAGCATAATGTCCACGTGGCGATTGCCCACAGCCCACAAAGGCCTTGCGACTTGTAATTATCTCGGACAAGAATTTTTAGTAGATAAGAGGAAAAATGTTGCATGAGAAAATGTTTTTTTTAATAGTCTATATCCTAGTTAGCATTTTCCCGTATTATATGCGTACACAGGTATTTTTTTTCAAAAATACTTCTATTTTCAGTACACATTTCAAAGAGTTGATAAAATACATGTTTTTTAAATTCAAACTTACACGTATTATACATGTACTTAAATATTTTTTACATTTAATACACTTTTTTTTCAATACAAATTTTCAATAATATAGACAAAATTCACATATTATACGCTTATCTTTTACTTATTATTGAATAGAATTAATATGTATTACAGAATTTTAAATAAATTATATTAAAATATTACATAGTGGCCAAACTTTTCAATTGTAGTTTTTCACATTTTTGCTGAATAAACTATGTACATATTTTATTCGTACGTTTCTCAATCCGTATTTTACTAACTATGGTCTACATAGGAAAGTGTTATTACTACAGTCAGTAAGTGGCAATTTTGGCAAGACAAAGCAACACGACTTGAATTATTATGTGTGGACACAGTTCGATTTGGTCTTGTTCATCTCTCAAATCAAAACTGAAATTAAAAATTACATGCGGTTTGATTTTCATACAAGATATCCAAGGAAATTGAATCAATTTGAACTGATATGGCCCCAGTCCAATTTTCCCCGCTCTCAATTTACATGCGGTTCAATTTTAATGGATGATGAATATTCATAGTTAAGGAATTTGTAACTTAAATAGTTGAGACCATTTAACTATACACCCGAAACCCTAGGTTCGATTTCCCTACCCCTAATATCAATTGTACCAAAAAAAACTTTACTTCATTCAAATTAGAAGCTTCTTTTCTTTTCCCCTCTTTCTATGCTTTTTTCTTCTTTCTTACTCCTTTTTGTTTATTTTTTTTTTTTGGTGTCAATTTAATTTTTAAACATGTTAACGGTAGAAAATGAAAATGAAGAGAAAAATGTAGTGGTCTATAACCAAATATGAAGGCATAAACGAAGTTGGATGTATACCGCGGCATATATAACAAATCCTGCATACAACAGCTGTGTACTACTACACATCTACACGACCCCTGTCATGGTAATAAAACTGACAAGCGGATATGAGACAGACATATGCAAGAATTATTTCACTAAATATGATGCATCATTTAGGCTCTGTTTGGTTCATGTAATGAATTTGAAGGTTTCCCAAGGAATGGAAATGGAAGATTCATTTCTCACGTTCGGTAATGCTGGGAAAGTAACCGTGAAATATCACTTTATTTCCTTTCTCATGTTTGTTTTGAGTAGGAATAAAAAACAAAGTTTGTATAAATTTTCAATTATCCCCATATTAAATTTTTTAAAAAAATGCATTTAATGATATATTGTAATTCTAAATTGTTAATGTGGATAAAATGGTCATAAAAAATATGTATTTAATGTTAGCTCATTTTCCCAAACTTTCTCATGAGGAAGGAAAACAAAACCCAAGTTTGGAGGATGACTTCACTTTCCCTCCTACTTTCCCGTGAGCCAGACAACGATTTCTCATACCTAAACTTACCAAACATGAGAAAGCAATTGATTTCTCATTCCCAAGTCTTATTTCCTATGAACCAAACGGGGCCTTAAGGCTTACAAGAACATGAACAAAACCTTAGTTTGCGTTCTAGGTAAGCCATTCGCTAAAGCAAGAATGCAAAAGGCATACTTAGGAAGATACATGAGTCCATTCCTATACATCAGAACTCAGACACAACATCAGCTGGCATAGCAGGAGGAATAGGAGAAAACGAAGACCAATTTGGCGAATTATGTGTAAGTTACGGCATACAAAAAGAAGAATGACAGCAGTAGCACATAAAGGTTTAGCATCAATCTATCAATCTTTATTCTTTACCATGACAACCGCTTTATTGACAGAATGGCGCTCACTGCGAAGGATTAGAATTGGCGATATTGAAATGTAGCATGCAAAGGGCTTCACTGCGAAGTATGAGAATTGGCAGGAGAAAACTTTAGTGAAATACTATTCACACAATGGCGCTCATCCGTGGGTGTTCGGAAGCCTTCGCCTTTGAATACATGACCCAGGTGTCCACCACAAGCCGCACATGTAATTTCGGTCCTCATTCCATCTGGATCCGGCTGATAGTATAAAGAAGTTTCATTAAATATAGAACTGATAGCTGGAAGAGAATGAAGATGAATAAATAAATAAAACAATCAACAATACAGCACGAAGGAAGCCTACTCACGTTATAATTTATGGCCCCAGGAAGACCCTCATAGAAAGCTGGCCAACCACATCCAGAATTAAATTTGGTGGTGGATCTGTATAGAGGAGTCCCACATCCTGCACAGCCATAGACTCCCTCCTCAAAGAACTTGTCATATTCTCCTGTGCCTGGATACCTTTATAGCATCAAATAATATCGAGCACAAGTTAGTTTGCATTCTTGCATATTAATTAGATACCATCACGAAATATAACGAAGCATTAAGCATGTTACATTGCACAATGCATGCCATCATCAATTACACAGTAGTTATCTAGCTATCCATTTTATTTCTGAAGATTTGCAACAGCCATTCCAATCGAAGCCTATCATGGTTTCCATTTCCTGCTTTAATTTTGTTTTACAAATTGTGGAGTTTAGAGAAATAAGTAAGTCGCACAGATTCTTCTCCCACAACAGTTTCAGTAATTAGAATGACTGTAAGGGTCTTCTTAAAATCAACAATGATAATTAAAATAGAAATTGAGGATAATTAACTGGTAACTTTCCATGACTCAGAGACTACATATCACACTTCCTGTTTTACCAAATGTTTATTTGTTCACAAACTAATAATTTCCCTCTTTCTGTAAGTGCACAAATATACCCATTTGCAATTTAAACTTAGCATCGGCCCCTACTTCAACTCCACTAATGCCATGCTTAATGTTTTAGGTCTTTGGTCTATACCAGTCAGTTCCTCTCCCAAATAAAGAAGTGTCCATTGTAGGATGACAATCTATTTTAATCTCAAAATCATACCTTATGAACATGGAATCATTTTTCCTTCCTCTCTATTTTTGGGACAATCACTGTAAGTTTGCCCAATTTCAATATAGAATCTTTTTTTTACGGATACTACTCCTCCTACCTTCTTTTTCTCATATTGACAATTTAACATCCTATGCCAATTACACGTTGCTCCCTTGAGGAAGTGGTAGTCATGGCAGTGAACATGGCAACAGTTAATCAGAACATTCTATATGATAAAGTTACCATTACCACCACCTAATGATGCTTGTACTCATCCCAATTTGTATAGATAGAAACCGGAAATCCACTCATTTAGCAAAAGACAGCTATTGCTGTTATATTAGCCATGATGGTATTCATTTAAAATTCCACTACCCAAGCTAGTAATATCCAGCATTAGAAGCCATGGATAAATAGATGAAGAACAAGAATTAATACTAGCTCAGTCTCTAATTGGTATGTAATCCCCACAGTTCAAATATAAAGAGATTCACCCAACTAGTTCAACCTACTCAATTCAAACTAGCTGGAAGACCTCAATTGCTATAATCTTTTTTTCCTCCAATGTTAGTAAAATCTTGAAAATGAACTTCCTGTTTAATGTATTAGACTATGAAGCTTACACCATGAAACAAGACCCAAGGATGCTCAGTGTCAAAGCCTCAAACTCCCAAAAAAAAATGATATCTCCCACATTTCACTCTTATCCAACACACAAAACCCAATAGTCCCAATTCAAAACTTTCCACAAAACACATGAATTTAGAAATAAGTACCAAGTAAATAAACTAAAATGCTTGCAATTGCTAGTTATTTCTCATAATCTATGCATCAATATAATTAAGATTAGAAGTCTAAATCAAATTATTAAGCAACTAAACAATTGCAAACATCTTACTCTGTGCCTTTTTGCCTCAGAATCCGAAACTGCTCAGACGAGAGCACGGCTCGCCACTCCTCCTCTGATTTCTGGACCGACCCAGGAGCAGCCATGGCTACGACAACCCCACCGCGAAAGCTACGCTTACTCTGGAACAAAGACCCGCCAAGCCCAATAGCGGGTATGACGCTTGAGATGGGTCTTGGTGGTAGAGCTCTGAAATGGGTTCTGAAGAGAGAAGTGGGTGCAGGTTTTGGAGGGTGAAGGAGCTTCGTGACAGTGGGTGTGATTGTGGGGTTGAAGATTATGGTCTTGGAGGAAGACGAAAGGGGTGAGGATTTGAGAACGTGCAATCCCATTTGAAGATAAAAGAAAGGCAAGAAAATGGTATTGGAAGATTGGACTAGTTCAACTGCAATTGAATATGCACCGCGCTATTTAGGGAGCCTTCTCCTTTTTCTTCAATATTTATAAGATACTCTTACAACGGGTCAATACACTCACAACAAAGATACACTATCACAATCAAATAAACTATAGTTAAAGTATTGAACCCATCACAAATATATATCATAATCATCATCGAGTCGAATATAAGACCAGTGACTCTTCAATTGCTAATTTAGGACTCTTCAATTTTCCAAAGACTTGACTTCGTATTGGTGGAAAAATCATAACAATCGGTATTCATGATTTCACGTTGAATATTTCATGCAAATTTATTGCATTTTTCTTTTGCAATTAATAAACTCATTTATTTCTCATTGTGGGGAACATGGACGAAACTTTATTTAGGCTGCTTTGGGATTTAGCACAATGCAATTTTGTCATTCTTAACTAACTTTAGCCCTTCAAAACCAACTTTAAAAAACCTAACCCAACTGTAATTACAACAATAATCTCGATGCAACTCAAGAACAAATATTTGTAAGTATAACTAAGAGCATCCACAATGATGTTCTCTATTTCTTAGCTAAAATTTAGCTAAGAATATAAGAAAGCTATTTTAGGAGCTCTCTAAAAAATTTCAACTCCAACCATACTCCCTAATTTGGAGTCATAAATGCTATAACTCTTTTTTGATTGGTCCATCTCTATTAAAAAATAAAATAAAAAATGGTTAGCATTAAATAAAAGTTTGAAATACTCATTTAATAAAACAACATTAAATTATAGGGAGCCACTAGGAGTCCTTTCTCTCTTCTCGGATTTAGGAGCTCCTAGAAGGACTCGCTATTTTAGGAGGTGGATAGAGAGCGTGGTTGGAGTTGTATTTTTATCATTCCTCCCTAAAATTTGTCTAAGGAGGTGGTGTAGGGAGCCTATTGTGGATGCTCTAAGCTCACCTAGCTTTTTATTATTATTATTATTATCTTCACTTCCTTTTTCCTTTTTTTTGCTAGAGCTCTCATTTTCAAGTTATTATATTGTGGTTATTGATTTACTTGAAATGACTTTAAAATGGCCAATGGGGTCTAGCGTCCGAACCCACATAGCATCTGAGTTGTGTATGTATGAGAAATTTCTATCCATTGTAGTTTAGACTATCGCTTATACTAAAACAAATTCTTTAAAATGGAAACTCTAGCCAAAAAATTATAATAAAAAAGTATTATGGGCCTAGTTGTACTTAAAAATGTTTCTTATTTGGTTGCACTTGGGTGGACTTCTTCAAGTTGGTTTTGTGGAGCTAAGAAGGACAAAGGGCAAAATGCTTCTTACACGTTTCAACTTGTCATTGGACGCCCTTCCAACAAACAAAAAAAGCTTGTCATTGGACGTGTAAAAAATAAAAATAAAAAAACTTTCCCCAATAAGAATTTATGTGTTTTTTTTTTGGTAAAAAGAATTTATGTGTTTTGAATTATAGATAAAAATGGTTTTTGTTTTTTGGGGTCTGAATAGATAAATATGGTTTAGTCTATCCATTCGGTATGCATTATCTGATTATCTTGTCAGAATCCATGTAGATTAAGGAGTCTTGTAACCCTAACTCTATAAATAGAGATTACTAATGAGGAGAAAAAACGCACACAATTATTTTCTCAATCACTTCTCTCATTTCTTTTTTTCCAACCGTCTTTTTCATTTCTTTTTTATCAAACGATAGAAATATCATTGATAAAAACCGAAAGACTTTATTACAATAGTCACAAAGTCGTAAAAGTTGTCAAATTCCAAGAACATTTGTTTTAGCTGGACCAAAAAAATTTATTTTACCAACAAACCCGACGACTTTTTTGTTCAAAATGAAAACATAAAACAACTTTGGCGTTGGTCAATAATGGGGTTGCATACCGAACACGACGCCTAAACCGTCCTGCTTTTGGTTTGGTTTTTTGGTCTGTCAACAAAAACGTGTTTCTTTTTATTATTTTTATTTTTAACATTTGACATTGGCTGCTTCCTCTCCTCCTCATCATCGGTCAAACTTTTTGATCCCTTCGCACCAAATTCCAAACTCCACAATCAAACCTTTGACATTTTCGTTCCACATAATCTCTCTCTCTCTCTCTCTCTCTCTCTCTCTTCATATATCATCTCATCACCATCCACTTTTTACTCCGATTTCTTCTGCAGCCTTCATTCTTTCTCTCTCTCTCTACAAATGGCGGCGGCTGCGAGTGGTGTCGCCGCTCCGAACGCAGAGCGCGCCACCTCCTCCTTCTCCAAGTCTGCGCATTCCCAAATCCGAATCCCGCACAGGCCTTTCCCGATTCAGACGCTCAGAAGATCTGCGTTCAATCCTAGATGTGAAATTGGCGCCGAGAAACCGGTTCAGACCGCCACTTCCAGGTCTTTGAGATCTTCGGCTCTCGAGCTCCTCAAGACGTCCTCGGCTGACAGTAAGTTCTCTTCTCAATTCAATTTATTTACTTTTCGATTGATAGCTGTGATTGTGTTTTGAATTGGTAGTTCGCTGTGTTTAATTTTCTAATTTGTTTTGGAATTTTGATTGGTCAAATGATTTCATTTGCGTAATATTCGTCCAGTAAACCAGTTTAGTTTCATAAATCGTTGATGGGTTGTGGTTTAGGGCTCTTGAAATGGTTGCTAAAAGTTAAAGAACAATGACTGTTTAGTGACCTATTAAGTGTTCATCTGAGAATTAGCAAAGCATTTACTTTTTGTTTTTAGTTTAATCTCTGAAATTTTCCTCTAGTTTTCAATTTAGTATAATGGGTATGTGATTATGTGACAGTTAAGCAAAATCTTTACTCTGAAAAGGTTGAAGTGTATGTTTTTTTTTTTTGGTGGAATAAATAATATGTTTCTTACAGAGTTTGAAGATTGTGTGATGCCACTAGTTGATTTGGTGATTCAATTTTCTGAACAATCTTTTTAATTTCTTTCAGGATATACGAAGGAAAGGAGCAGCGTAGCGGTTATAGGCCTAAATGTTCACTCTGCTCCAGTTGAGCTACGTGAGAAACTTGCCATCCCTGAAGCACAGTGGTCTCAAGCCATTGGTGAGCTCTGTGCTTTGAATCATATAGAAGAAGCTGCTGTTCTTAGCACTTGTAACCGTATGGAAATATATGTCGTGGCTCTCTCCCAGCATCGGGGGGTTAAAGAAGTAACTGAATGGATGTCAAAGGTAAGTGGTGTTCCCGTCTCTGAGCTTTCTAAGCACCGAATCTTGCTGTACAACGAAGATGCCACCCAGCACCTATTTGAAGTAGCTGCTGGGCTTGATTCTCTTGTACTAGGAGAAGGTCAAATCCTTGCTCAAGTCAAACATGTTGTGAAAGTTGGACAAGGAGTACCTGGTTTTGACAGGAAAATCAGTGGGCTTTTCAAGCATGCAATCACTGTTGGGAAGCGAGTGAGAACTGAGACCAACATTGCCTCAGGATCAGTTTCTGTGAGTTCGGCTGCTGTGGAGCTAGCCTTAATGAAGCTTCCTAAACCTTCCTATGCTACTGCCAGAGTGTTGGTGATTGGTGCAGGCAAGATGGGAAAACTCGTAATTAAGCACTTAGTTTCTAAAGGGTGCAGAGAAATGGTGATTGTTAATAGGAGTGAGGAGAGAGTTGCTGCCCTACGTGAAGAGTTCAAAGATGTTGAAATAATCTACAAACCCCTCTCAGATATGCTAGCAAGCGCTGCTGAAGCAGATGTCGTTTTCACCAGCACTGCATCAGAAACCCCGTTATTCTTGAAAGAACATGTACAGATGCTTCCATCTGTCAGTCCGGAACTTGGAAATCGGCTTTTTATTGACATCTCTGTACCTAGGAATGTGGAACCATGTGTCTCAGATCTTGAAACTGCATGTGTATATAACGTGGATGACCTCAAAGAGGTTGTGGCAGCTCACAAGGAGGATAGGCTTCGGAAGGCTATGGAAGCTCAGAAAATTATCACTGAGGAATTAAGTAAATTTGAAGCTTGGAAGGATTCACTTGAGACTGTTCCTACTATCAAGAAGTTTAGAGCTTATGCTGAAAGGATCAGGGCTTGCGAGGTTGACAAGTGTTTGTCAAAGATGGGCGATGATATCTCAAAGAAGCAACAAAAAGCTATTTATGATCTTAGCATGGGTATAGTGAATAAACTCCTTCATGGTCCGATGCAGCACCTCAGGTGCGATGGAAGCGACAATCGTAGTTTGAGTGAGATTCTAGAGAATATGCATGCTCTAAATAGGATGTTTGATCTTGACACAGACACATCTGTATTGGAAGAAAAGATTCGAGCCAAGGTGGAACAAATCCAGAAGTAAGGGTCGTCGTAGCTGGTTTTTTTCTTGCTCCAGTTGCAATTATGTTGGCATTCCACGTACTGACCCTGCTATCGCAACTGTATACACAGAAAGTCAGTAGTTTGGAGGCCTTTGTTTTTATTGATTGACATTCTTGGGGACAATTAATTCTGTCCTACTCACACATAGTTACAGATTTTCAGGCAACAAGCCAAAGTTTTGGGGGGAACTTGATGCTTATTACATATAACAGAGGTTGGTCTTGATAGTTGATGATTCTTGTAGTAACAGTTCATATACATTTAGCCACGTTCCCTCTTACTTTTCCTCCCCAATTTTTTTCTTCAATTGTTTTACCATCAAAAGGAATAAAAGGCAACAGATTGGATGAGTTAAGATGTTTTAGTTTACGGCATTGCCTCTGAACGTGGAACTGAAATTGTTGTAGCCGTTTGGACTTTGGAAAAATCTTGGACATATGTATTCATGTAAGCATGTTTTTGTTGAGCATGTGAAAAATGTTTTTTTTTTTCTTGCAAATTTTTAATCCAGAAGTCATGGGATAATCAGGGATGGTTGATTGTGTATCATCACACAGGTGGTTGAGGTTATTGACTGTGTTGTTTAGAATAAGGACTTTGTATATGGTATTGAAAATTGCAACATCTATTTTCCTCATCTTTGTATATCTTTTTTTTACACTACCGATATTTGGGAAGGGTGAATTCGAACACAAGACATTAGGTGCATGGATAACTGATCGTATTTTAATCCAACATTTCCATTTATCCCGCCAACCAAACACAGGGATTAGACATTTGAGTGGGCTTTAAAGAGGTACGAAGTAAGGATTAATAATTGGGATTAAGGAGTGATAGGAAGGGGAAAAAAGGAACAAAAATCTTCTTTCTAGAAATGGATTTTCTTCTTCCACAACAGCACAGCTCTTGGTCAGTATATTGCGAGAAAATGAAATCATTTCAAACGTTATAACTTGTTGGCATTTCATCAGTTTGCATTTGCTGATGGTTTGATAGTGAGGAGAAAAAGAAAAATCAAGAGAAAGGGTGCACTGTGGTATCAATAAAGCTTACGGGCATGTTCGAAAGCTAATGGGTCTAATATAGTAGAAAATGGTCTTAACTTGCATATTAATAATGTGATTTTATTCTCTATGTGAGGAGCCTTTTCTTTTGTTTGCACACAATAAAAAAAAGGCCTCAACCAACAAAGTGGAGACTCATGTCACTAAATCAAATAGTTACAAGTCAAAATAAATAGAGTTGAACTTCCACCTTGCGTTTGGACAAGAAAATTTAGTAATACAATGGAATTCGAAAATGATGGGAAATTTTATTTATTTTTTAATATGAGCGTCTAAACCACAAGGGGATGTGTTATACACACCACCAATGTGCCATGGAGGTTCGAATATGAGACCGATGTTGTTCTGTAAGTCAATGCCATTTTGCATTAGGCTAGACCCTGTGCCTGTTGGTGAAAATGATGGAAATTACTGTCCTAAAATTTGTAAAGTTTCTTCTTTGACTAACTTAAAAATATAAATGAATTTAAAGTCTATCTTTTTAGAGGCCCTTAATTTATAAATAAGATGGTGGTTGATAAATGTGTGCACGATCGTGGTGGTTGTTGTAAAATGAATGGTACATGCAGGAATATTGAACTGTATGTAAAGTAAACGAGACACAATATGTAAAAGGGTTCGGTCATGCGTGCGTCCTCGGAGAGCAGCATCAGTAACTTTTCCAATATGTAAAATAATAGGGCTACAACTTTAGTGTTTACAATCTCTGGCTCACTGATTTTTCTCTCTTTGAGAATTCTTTGCTCTCTTCTCTCCTCTCACCCCTTTCTTTTTTCCCTTCCTCTCTACCTAGGCTCTCATTTTCTTCTTTGATGGTTGGTGCATGACGGTTTGGAACCTTGTGCCTTATAGGTTCAAATAACCGCATTAAATCTCTCAAATTATATATATATTTCAATGCATGTGAGTCCTGAACTTCTGGCCTACGTTAAACATAACCTTTTCAAATAGGTATGAAATATAAAGTGAGGAAAAGCCATAATATTGTAATATAGTAGTGAAGAGCATTAACTACTATATACCCAAAACTTCAGGCTAAAGATTTCTCATAAATTAAGATCCATGGGCTTTTGACCCAGATCATATAATATAACAAAATATGGGGAGCCTCATTTCATTCTTTGAGGTTTATCCTGATATTATTCATTTCATGGATTCACAAAATATATTTCTTCCTTGAGGTGTCGTTTGTGATAAAATCGATCTTTAATAAATTCATCATTTTCTTATGCCGAAGAAACATGCGGTATGCCACAACTCGCAATAATACCTCAAGGGTTGTCCATTTAATTGTTGAAACTTCATGTTCTTAACATTGTTAGATTTTGAATTTCAGGCCAAAATCACATATTCTTGTGGTAAGGACATTCTTATAATTTCTTATACATATTTCGGGACTTCAGGCTCTTACAAGTGTCCATGTTTTTTAGGAATTTCTGGTATCTCATTTAATTGTTCATTCATGAGTTTAAGGAACCCCCCCCCCCCCCCCCCCCCCTTTTGCATACAGTGATGGTTCACCCAAAATGGTACTATCATGTATACGATACTATTCATCAAGTAATAAATACGGTTTTATTCATGCATACAATACATTTGCCAGTACAATCACTATTCATGTGTATGGTTACTATTCATGTCATGTGTACAATACATTTGCCAGTACATTTAGTATTCATGTGTATGGCACTATTCCTGTATATTGTACTGTTTTTATCAAGGAACTTCAACTCATGAAAGGATCAAGGATCTTCAGGTTAGATCATTTTTCACATATATAGTACCGGAGAGACCACCAGCTCTCATTTTATTTCATCATCAAGGATTTTCTGGTCCTTATGTAGTTGTATGACGAGGATCAAGGAACTTATGGTCTTGATCTATGTATGCTGTAAAACTCATCATAACACACTTGTAAATTAAAAATAAATTGCTTGTAAATAAATTGCTGCTATGAACTATAAACCCTCACCACACTTTAAATAAAAATAAATGTGCGGTAAATAAATTCATAAAGTAAATTGCTTGTTGTATGGATATTAATTCCCACCATACTTTAAAATATAAAACTAAATATACTGTTGAAGAATATGAGTCTCACATCGGAAACTTTAGTAAATAAAATACAATATATACAATATATAATGAATGGTTCAACTACTAATATCACCGATGCTTTTTGTGATAAAACCTCACATTTACTAGGCTTTGTAGGCGGTTAAGTTGGGGAAGTAGGCTGATGACCCGTCTCTCTGAATTTAACATGGTATCAAAGTATGTGAATTGATTGGGCCTGAATTATTGGGTCTTTACTCTTACCCCTTACCCAAAATGTGGTGTTCACATGTTGGCCTTGAATGTTTACCATTATCCAATACATTGTGCTCATGTGTTAGGCTTGAATGTTTGACTTCGATGTGGACTTGGCTCCACGTATGGCCTACTATGTTTTGGTCTCACGTGAGGGGGCGTGTTGAAGAATATGAGTCATACATCGGAAACTTGACTAAATAAAATACAATATATAATGAATGGTTCAACTACTAATATCACTGAGGCTTTTTGTGATAAAACCTCACACCTACTGGGCTTTGTAGGTGGTTAAGTTTGGGATAATATCCGTGTGTTAGTAGTGGGCCGTTGGCCCGTCTCTCTGAATTTAACATATATGATAAAACAAATGTGCTTGTATGAGTACTAATACTACGACATACTTTAAATAAACAATAAATATAATATAGGGATAAAGCCACCACCTGATATACATATTTAAGTAATATTGAAAGCATTTTATATTAAAATAATAGGGTTACAATTGTAGTGTTTACAATCTCTCTGGCTCATTGATTTTTCTCTCTTGGAGAATTCTCTGCTCTCACTCTCCTTCCTTTCTCCCTTCTTCTCCACCTGACCTCTCATTTTCTTCTCCGATGGTTGGTGCAGGGAGCATTTGCAAAAGAAGGAAGCATTTTATAGGCAAATGTGAAGCCATTCCCATGAATGTGCATGAAAGCATTATGCACCAAAGTCTTCAAACCAATAATAAATGGGCTCCACATACTTATTCTTTACAACAGTAGTAGTGATGGTAACCTCATTTTTGGTCCGGGAGTACCAATTGATTTGGTTTGATGATGCTAGTTAAATGTATTATTCTACGCTTAATCATGGAGTATTTCTTAGTAATTCTTACTATTCGGTTTTGGTGTTCCGCATCCGCATGTCCAACAAAACGCTACGTGGCACGTAAATATCACGCCACGTATAGAACAGCAGCGCATCTGAACGTACAAAACCCAAAAAAAAAAAAAAAAAAAACCTCCAATTTCCCAAAATGTTAAGGATAGAAACGTAATAGAGCAAAAAGCTCAAGGGCAATTTCAGCACGACAAGATAATCACACGTGTGCCACCAACATTTTTCACACAAACTCGCACGCTTGCGTTCTTCTTCTTCTTCCTCTTCTCTGTCTCTCAGGGATCCTCCAACAACGAACCAGAGCTTCTCATCGAGATTTTCTCTCTCCCTCAATTTCGATCCAATTTCGGTAATCTTTATTCCCTTTTAACTGATTTTTTGGTGACATATCAATTTCGTAATTTCTGTAAATTCTGTTTGGTTGCTGAGAAAACGAAGGGGGAAAAAAAAGTAAACTTAAGCTTCCAAATCATATATTTTATATATGGAATGATTCAATTGAAAATTATTTGAGCGAAGGGATGTTCGTTTGGCTCTCTTTAATTTCAGTTTGGATGGGTTTTCTAAAATTAGTAGTAGGTAGTTGTTAATTATCAGGATTAAGGGTGGAAATTTTTTTTTTTCAGGCCACTAAGTGTGTATATTATGAGTTTCAGTATTCTGTGTTCTTGAAAATTAGCTTATTTCATAAATTGTGAAATTCAATTTGGTTGTGATTGTAACTTGGCAATTGCTCTGTGTATAATTTGACCTTGGCATTCTATTACTGTTTTTAGAAATTTCAAAATTGGTTTTTTAATGAGTATAAACAAAATTTGGTCTATGCTATAATGACCATGAGTGGTAGCATTTTTATTGTTATTTTATTTTTCATTACAGGAACAGCTTTTCGTTCTCGAGGGACGACAGATAGGAGCAAGAAAGGTATCCCTACAGAGATATATATATTTTTCTTTTGGCCACCAAATTGTGTTTCATTTTAATAACAATAAAAAAGAGTTTTATGTTTTGATTGTCAACTTTGTTATTTTTCGAACATTTGTGATATCATTTGGGTGCTTGTTTTTGTTGGTGGTTTTGTGAACTTTAGGGAGAATACCTACCTTGTATTTGAAGTTGTTACTTTGCTTTGCACTGGCTCATAGAATCTTCTTCTTTTAGCAGTGGAGTCTTCATTCATCATTGCCAAGTTTTTTTCCTTACAGTTTTCCCTTCATACTTGCTATGCACCAACGTAAACCAAGAAATTTCTAATAAAATAAAGTGATGCAATTTTGGATGGTATTTGTATGATAGGGAAGATGTGGGGACAGTTTATGTGTGTAATCAAGTCATTGAAATTCAGAAGCCTTATTTTGCATGTATGATTCCATGCAAGCCAAGATGATGCCCTAAATCCAATGTAATTATTGAGTGAGCTATTATGTTTGTACTTTAGTTGGAACCAATTTTATTCTGAATAATTGACTCTTAGTGCTCCTTTCGTAGGACACTTCTGTTGGAAATTGAGCATCCAAGAAGATGCAACAGTTGTGCACGGGGTACACCCATGTCCAATGCTCAGTTGACTGATTAACAAATAGTAATAATCGCCATAAATGGAATAAATTCACCACATAAGGTGGTTTTAGGCAAGGTAGGCCACGTATGGCATTTTGTGGTCGTCTTTAAGTGATAGGAAGGAGGATTTCCATCGGCTTGCAGTGTAGATCCTAGTCTAACCTTATAAATAATACGAATCTCAATCTTTCAATTTACATGCATATCGGAATTAATGCAAGGGCTTGAATTGAGGTTTATGTGTGTTCGTTGATTTTGAGTTATGGGCTGCAATATTTAAAACTTAGGGAGTTGGGGACCTATATCTCTATCTGCAGCACCAAATTATTGTAGTAAAAGATGACTGGCTAGCTCGGGTTGAGCTGTGTAGGAATCTAACTTAACTGTGGGAAGTTTTAGATGAGCCCAAGGCTGAGCAAGGTAAAGCTCAGGTTGACCTCTCTATAGTTATATTTCATCAGTAAACCTTTACGTATGCATTTTGGTTTGTTTTTTTTATCTGTACAGGACAATCACAAATAACTAATGAGACTACTATGATGTTGAATGCTGCCCGCCTACATTTTCTTGTTTACTATTTAGTACATATATCCTCTTTATGCTCATCTGTTGATATCCTTCATTGATGAGACACAACTTTCCATTTCCTTGTTAGCTTTTGTGGGTTGCCTTTAGTAGAATTCTGTTGTAAAAGACATAAAATTCCAGTTTTCTGATAAATACATTAAAGAAGATTAATTTGCATAGCTTATTTTGTGGTGTTGTGCTCCAAGAAACTATTGCCTGGTCTTGCAGAAGCTTGCTGCGCAAACAAGAAAATGGAGCTAAGTACCATCAAAGATGCATTTGAGCGTGTTGTTAAGAAGCAAAAATTATGTTCTTCTAGATCCCAAGAAGTAATTGACCTAGTTGGTCGTGAAATTGAACAGGCACTGACACGACTCCTATCAGCTCATGATCCCACCTCTCCTGTTGATTATAGATCTATCCTTGCAGAGCTTAAACTCAAGCTCAATGGAATTGGCCCAATCCACTTGTTAGAGGGCTCACATAAGGAACTAAACGGAAACCTTAGCAAGTACACTAAATTCCTGGAAAAGTCCTTGAATCCAGACATATCAAAGGCATACAGAGATGTTGACTTCGACCATCACATTGAGAATCAGCTGATTGCCAATCATTTTTACCGGCAAGGTTCGTTTGATCTGGGAGATGGCATAATAGATGAGGCTGGAGAACCAGAGTCAACCATTCTAAAATCTCAGTTCGTGGTAATGCATCAGATACTTGAGGCTATGAAGGTTAAGAACCTCGAGCCTGCTCTGAACTGGGTCTCTGCTAACCGCGAGAAACTGAATCAGAGTGGGTCAAATCTCGAGCTTAAACTTCATAGTTTGCAGTTTCTGGAGATTTTGAAAAAGGGAACTCAAGCTGATGCACTTAAATATGCCAGGACTTGCCTTGCTCCTTTTGCTTCTCCCGCCTCCCCTCACAAGGAAGAGGTCCTGAAGCTCATGGGTTGCCTGTTGTATCCAGGAAGGCTTGACAGCTCCCCATATTCTGAGTTTACATCCCCAACCCATTGGGAGAAGTCGATGGAGGATCTTACACGGCAGTTCTGCAGTCTGTTGGGGCAGTCCTATAATAGCCCGTTGAGTATGACAATAGCTGCTGGATTGGAAGGGTTGCCAACTCTCTTGAAGTTGGCAAATGTAATGGCTGCGAAGAAGCAGGAGTGGCAGGCGATGAAACAATTGCCAGTCCCTGTGGAGTTGGGGAAGGAATTTCAGTTCCATTCAATATTTGTCTGTCCTGTGAGTAGAGATCAAAGCAGTGAAGAGAATCCGCCGATGTTGATGCCATGTTTGCATGTTCTCTGCAAGCAATCAATCCTGAAGCTGACCAAGAGCAGCACACGAACATTTAAATGCCCGTATTGTCCAGCTGAGGCTTCAGCTGCTCAGTGCCGCCAGCTATATTTCTGAATTGTAATCACCCTTTCTCTGCAAGATCTATGGTGATACCGTACATTGCCTCCATGTGAGATATCAGTTTGTATATAGACATTCCTTCCAAACTCGTCGTTTGATTCTTGAAGTACCATTAATTTGCATAAAATGTTGGAACAAACATTTGTTAATTTCATGGAATGTGATGTAATACAAAGGTTATCTGTTGGAAGCAGCCTAGAACATGAGCATTTTCCAATTTGGATGTTTCATGGTTCCAAAAGAGTGCAATTTTTATGGATTTACAATTTGAACTTCGATAACAAAACAACTCAGGCAGCAGTAAGTTTGTTACAAATTATAGATCCTAGAAAAATGGCTCCCTTTAAAGGCAATATAATATAATCTTGAGTGCATAAATACCAGTGTTGGCATATTTTCTTTTTTCTCAAAAGGAGCAGGTGGATATCTAGCTGCAATTTGCGAAGGCCAACCACTACCAACATTTGTACATTTTGCTTTGAGGAACATCATATCATATGATTTCAGAAAATACACTTTCTTTTCTTCTCTTTTTTTTCTTTTGAGTTATTAGGAAATTTCACTCTGAAATTCTCAGGAAAATTGATCAAGCAGCCCCAACAAGCTTCAAGTAAAATTTTCATCTGTTATCCCAAATGAGATGTTTGGAAACCTGACTACGATAACAAAAAAATTGATTAAACTCTCGAGTATCTGAATTTGTTATTTCAACAAATTTCACATCCCAACAAAACCGCTAATATTTGACACCCAAATTGCAAACCAAAAGTGATCTAATTGTCTTCTGAGAACCCCATCATTCTCTTCAAACCAGGAAAAAATGCTGAAGCAGAAGATTTTGCAGGTGGGTTTTCTTCATGGAGATGTTCTTCAACCAATTCCTTAACAGACTTTGCAGACAATGGATGAAAATTGACCCCCCACTCTAAAACAAACCCTTTTATCAAAACCCACTTGTCCTCCTCCTCCATTTTCCTCCATTTCTTCTTCACCTCCTCTGATTTCGAATTGAGGTACTGGCACAGCTCTGTGAAGAGAAGCTCTCTGCTCTTCTTCATGGCCTCTTCTCTCTGCATGAAAAGGGTGTTCATCTTTGACAAATCTGATGCAAGCTCTGCATCACTGATGTTTTTGTTGTTGCAGTGGATTATTGTTTGGGTTTTGGGTCTGGTGTTGAAATGGGTTATGGAGGGGAAGGAATTGGTGTGGAATTTTGGAGGTTGTTTGGGGATTTTGGGGGAAAGGAGATTCATTCTTAGTGCCATTTTGAGGATTTTAGTTTCTGTTTCAGTTTGGTTAGAGGCTCAGGCGGAAGTAAAGGAAAGAGTCCCACAGGCAATGTTTATGGTGTGGCCCTGTGTTATAATTTCAAGCCCAATCCAGAAGTGTGTTTTTTTTTTTTGGGTGCAAAAGTTAGGAAGGGTAGAGGGGAAATAACATATACGGATACCATGGAGACTTAAATCGATGACCACTTGCAAGTACATCAAAAGACTGAGGCAATCCAACTAACAACCCATTAGTCAATCCCAAAGTTTATTTGAGTAGTTGTAAACTTGAAATTATAAAAAAATTATTCTTAGCATTGAAATTATGAAAAATTATGTTCAGATAAATTTTTTTTACAAACAAATATGTCTATGTTTTACATTATTTCTTCAGCATTTTGTAGGAGAAAAACTTGAAATTAAATGCTTTTTCTTTTGTTCATCACTGGAAACAAACACATTTCCTTTCTAAACAAAATGCATTTAGCAATTAATTATCAAATGAACGAGTAATATGTGTATCAAAGTCCTGCAAGGGATTGCAGGCTCTACAAAAATATTGTTTGTATCAAAATCTATATAAGCATTAAACTGAAGTTATACTTCACATTTGTGGAGTACTTATTTCAACTTTTGTAACAATATTTCGACCGCAAGTAGTGTACATGTTCTCTTGCGTCCAAGTTTGATACTTATACTCATACATTAGAGTAGTTAAAATATCGCTTAAAAAAAAAAATAAAATCATTTGAATCAATGGAGAAGCATAGGTAGCCAAATGATTAACTACCTCATCACAATTTCTAGGCTTGAAACAAAACGAAATAAATGAAAGGCTTAAGTGCTACAGTGCCCCCTGGAACATTGGTCAATTCTCACTTTACCCCCTCAAAGTTAAAGTGACCCACTTTGCCCCCTTGACAAATGTTTCGTGTTTCACTTAACCACTTTCCGTCTACGCCATTCTAAATTCCGTTAAACCAATGACGTGACAGAGGTAGTTTGGTCCATTCAACTGAGCTGGGATTTTTCCCACCAATCTGAGGGTGTGACGTGTACATGGAAGCCCACCTCTAACATCTGATATAGCTCCAACGGATTGATTGCCTGCTGATATGGAATTTGGGGACCCATCTAACAAAACAGCCACGACAATCAGTGTTAGAACTCAAAAATGAAAACAGAAAATCAGATTGGGAGGGAAAATTGAGATTTGGGGATTATAGATCCAGGGTTTGAGAATAAGGATCGAGAAAGGGAGAGCGCTCTCAGTTGGTTTCGACAACTTGAAGGCAAGAAGAAGCGATGCGACTGACTCGACCCGACGACGATGCCCGTTGGGTGAGAAGCAGGAGCAGGGCAACCTGTGTACGGTAAGTGATTCTTCTGAAAAGGGACCTGTTTTCTGAAAAGGAATCTTTCCTTTGACGTGGAAAAGAATCTTGACATGATAGTGATGCGCATTGTGTAGAAATTGATAGGATTTAGGTCTTTTTGTGTTATGTGTTGTCGGCAGAGGGGGTTCTAAAGCAGTATACCTTTCCTGATGTGGTCCCGTTTTTGTTTTCTTATAGTTAGGTTTGAATATGTTAATCGAACCATGGTTGTTGTCTTGCTTTTAATAAGTGTCTTAGAATACTATTTAGCTTTTGTTAAAAACAAACCCTTTTTGTTTCTGTATAGAGGACAAAATAATTGGTAACTTTTGAAGTGCATCATGGTGGCAGAATTGTGAAAAACAAACAGAATAAGTGTGATAGGCCTCCTTGTGCTGCAATTGGCCAATTAAATGGGGATCATATTGCTTATGTTGATGCTTGTTACAAGAAAGAGACCTTTATGAGAGCTTATGGTCCAATGGTTCATCTAATGACAAGTGTAGACTTGTGGCCTAAGTGTGATAGGCCTCATTTGATGCCACCACTTTATCACAAACACTCTGGGAGACCAAGGAAGAAGAGGATGAGGTCAGCAGGTGAACAACCAAGCAAATCTAATCCTACAGCCACCAAGTTGCAGAGGTATAACTTGAAAACCAAGTGTTCACTTTGTAGACAAGGAGGTCATAATAGGAGGAGCTGCCCTAAGGCAAAAGAAGGCAGCAGTAGTCAGTTTGTCTCTTCCAAAACACATTGGCAATGCATTTTTGTTTTGGATGTTTATTATTTATTTATTTTCAAGTGATTCTCTACTTATGTTAGGTCCCATGTAAACGAAAGGCTCAGAAATCTGCTTAAGATACGACATCAACCAAAAGGGTTATAAGACAATCAACAGCCAGGCAACCTGTAAGCCTCCTTTATTTTTATTGAGATTAAGAGGATGAGGTATGAGATGTAGTTGATGTAAATTGGAATCCTTTTCAATTTGTAAGTGAGAAGAAGGTTGGAAACTGGCCAGTGTTCTCAAACTCCACATGGTTCTGAAACAGGCCAAGCTTCCCAAACTTCCCCAGCCCCAGCATCTTAAACTGCCATACCTTCAGTACCTACCCAAGCATCTCAAACTGGCCAAGCTTCAGACACTCCCCAAAAAAAGATGTTTAAGTCTCCTGCAAAGAGGATTAAATTCCCCAAAAAGAATGATGGTTCTCAAACTCTGCAAGGCTCTCAATCTGTGCAAGGAACTGAATCTGTGCAAGCTTGTCCAGTTTCTCAAACTGCCCAAAGTTCTCAATCTGTGCAAGGATCTCAACCAAGTGCAAGCTTATCACACCCTTTTGCTAGTGGTCCAAGCAAAAAGAGGTTCAAATCTCCTGCCAAGAGGATGAAATTTACCAATCGGAAGGATTTAGTGGATGGTTATCAGCCTTGGAGATTCTGATCATGTGGAAGTGTTTTGTGTTTTGTTAAAATGCCTCTTATGAAGACCTTTTCATTCCACTTTTGTTTTACATGTACAACTGTTAAGGACAAGTGTTAAGGACAAAACTTTGGAATGAGGCTTTTGATTGAACTATTATTTTGCAAGTCCAACTATTAAGAACTTTATTAGTAATGTTATAAAATGGTTATAAACTGTAAGGATTTGATCAGTGTTATGAAACCCATGATTGTGTGTTATAAACTGTTGCAAGTGTTTGTGGTACTGTTCATTTAGTAATGTTTTTCATACCATTACATATGAGGTCAAAATCCAATAAGTAACTCCCACATTGTGTTCAACAACCACATTCATTACATAAGTACCAATACATTGTTACATCCAGTTGCAAATGGAAACCATGTTCCTCCATCATTCCATAGCTACCAAGACATGATATTTTACATACAGTTGCAAAATCAGACTTGTACAATCTGCCTAATTCCTCCATTGCAATGGCCACATTTTGTGCCAAATTGTTAAAGACATTGCCAAAACAAAACCATTACTAAACCCCATGAAAGAATAAGTCAACCCATTAACTTTCTTTCTCTTGCTTGACGATGCCCAACGTCCTTTTCAAGTTCCTTCAATCTTCTAAGTAGCCAACTCACCAGAGCCTTCTCTCTAGGTGGAAATTCAACATCCACCCAAACAAAAAACCCACATCCTTTTTTCCTCCTTTGCATCAAACATCAATACCAATTAATAAATAAATTTAACCGGATTCACACACTTTCAACAACATAACTTACCCCTGATGAGTTTGGACAAACATGGAATCTTCGAAGTGGGTTCGCCTCAGTCCATGAAGTTTGTAAGCGAGCTATCTTCCCACAAAAGCAACGCGATGCCGCCACATCCAACTCTTCTCCTCTATCAACTATTTCAGTCTTCATCTTCAATTTTCGTGGAACCCAACCTCTAATTTCTAGGGTTTTAGAGGAAGCCAATTTGGGATTTTTTTGGTTCCGTAGCCAACTGAGATCAATTAGAACGTTGGAGCTATATCAGATGTTAGAGGTGGGCTCCACATGTACACGTCACTCCCTCAGATTGGTGGGAAAAATCCCAACTCAGTTGAATGGACCAAACTACCCCTGCCATGTCATTGGTTTAACGGGATTTGGAATGACATAGACGGAAAGTGGTTAAGTGAAACACGAAACATTGGTCAAGGGGGCAAAGTAGGTCACTTTAACTTTGAGGGGGTAAAGTGAGAATTGACCAATGTTTCAGGAGGCACTGTACCATTTAAGCCTAAATGAAAATGGAGACGCTATTTTAAGCAACACTGTCACGATTAAATACATTAAAAACCAATCCCACATACTTGGGCTATTCCAATTTTTTGACTTAGAGGATCCATAAGCCATGATGTAAGGATCCAGGAGCCTCCCCAAATAATATTAAAGAAAAGTGATGAAAGAACATTACTCATTTGTTACAAAAAAATTTCTCTTAGATTTGATTGTGTTACAATTTGAGTGCAATCTGTACCATGCCACTCTCCTTCACGAAAGAGAAGGAACAGCAGCTTTCCTCCATCTATAAGCTGCCTCCAAATTTCCCAGTTAGACTTGGGCTGTGATTGTATGCACCCAATGCCCGCCTTTATCTTGTCCTACTTCGTGTACAAAAAGAATAGGCTGATTCGGCTCAATTCAGCTTATGTGAAAGTCATCCTTGTATGCAATTTCAGATCATAGGTTCTACCAAGTGTTCATCATCCTATCTCCAATCCAATACGGATCAGCTCTGTTAAAATGTCAACCCATGTATCTGGTACACCAGGTAAGCACCAGTGCATGCAGTCCTGGCCCCAGATTGCAACAGCATCCTTCTGTCCCAACCAAATTGCTGGATGGGCATCCACTCTGAACTCACTCAGATAAGTCAGGTTAAGCAATTGAATATCGGTTCGCTGCAAAGTGTCTTCAATCAGATGATTCAGCAGTCTTTCTTCTTTATTCGGTCCATTGTTGCTGGGGTCAAACCACAAGTCAAGCTGTCGAGGTATTACTATATGATTTCCTCAATAAAACAGGGGGGGCGGGGGGGCGCAAGGTATCGTCTAAACAAAAATTAGAGGAAAGAGAAAAACAAAATGAAGTACGAGATTTGGTTTCCATAGTTAGGTTATGAATTGTTCATGAATATTCCAGAGCACATAAATAAAATTTGAAAGAAAGTTCTAGGATTTTGTTCCACAATGGACACGAACCAAACTGATATTATAGCTCATATATGAAACCATGGTAAGTGGCATAACGAAGGAAAGCCATCATGAATACATACCTGCTGCTCTTCAAGGGGCTTATTGAACAAGCAACTGCCATTTTGATTCCACTCACCCCCATAGAAATGCCTTGGTGATTGTAACCGCCATAACTTGAGCGTCTTTTGAGGAAGTTTGTTTTGTATGTAAGAGACCATATTCTCAAGAACAACTTTAAATCCATCCAATATGTCAAGGGGAGGTAAGATTGGTTTGCCAGCACGATAAAAAGTGAGAGGAGTCTCTTTTGGGAACTTATCAGAACTCCACCTAGTTAAGCACAAATTCTTTAGTAATTCCATGCTGTTTTCTGCAGAAATATGAATGGATAACAGAGTATGCAAACCAACTAATGAGGTGCCAGCTCAATGAAACAAATTGAACAAGAGATTTGAGTGTAGCGCTAGTGTATCCATTATTAAGAGGGAGCTTTCTGATTTTCTTTTTGAAGACTTCAATATTTCTTAAAGTTATTCTGTTCATTTCAGAACCAGTCACAACCTGTGTGTGTGTGTGTGTGTGTGAGATTATCTCTATGTCAATAAATTTTTTCCCCGCATTCATGTTTCAATAAAAGTCCCATTAATAATAAGGAATAGAAGAAGTCATTTCATCAGTACCACAGAAAGAGGACCATCATCATGTTAGTAAAACTAGATTTAAGACCCTTATTGGCATGAATTTAAAATTTTCAAAATATAAATAAACGCTGGATAAATCAGTTCATTAACCAACCTCTTCGGTGAATTAGGAGAAGGGACAAGATAATTACCAGTGCCCAGTATTGAAAACAAGGACATCATAAAAATCAGCAATGTTGGAATATCAACATCTAATCGATATATTCCTTTCACTCCATCTTGGTCACCACGTGCAGGCTGTTTCGGCTGCCACCTTGATTTAATGAGCTATGAGCATGTGAGGTTTCCATTCTCAGAATTTTTTTCAGACGAATATGAAACTCAGATAAAGACAACTAACAAGATTCTAGATTGAGTTTCAGTTAAGGGGAACGATGAAGACCGCCACAGGTTACCCTCAAACCTCAGGGAACACCAAAACAGAATGTTATAAGCAAGAAAGAAATGAAAATTTTCCAACCACTTCACTTATGCATATCCATTAATATCTAAACATCCGTTTCCTCCAGACACAAAATTAAGTTGCTTTAGGTTAAATCCACCAAACTCGTCAATGTCAGTACCAATCTGTTTTGAACAACCTTAAATCATCTGTATGCCCAAAGATGCTTGATTTAACTTATAAGGTTCATATTTTTGTGCACTTTGTTCGTTTTTGTAACAATATACGTAATGGTAGCACATAACAACATTTATTCTTCTCATTAGATTACACTAAACATCCATGCATACTTATAAATCAAACTAGGTAGCAGAAGCAAAACAATCCCATGAAAGAATTGCATAGAAAACTAACAATCTTACTCATATTTGGCGAGTAACACTGCCCGATGATACCCCACTGTAACATTGAACTTAGGAAAATAAGCTCCTCTCCAAGCCCCCTTCCTCTTCCACTTCTTAGCACCCAAATCGGCCACTCTCAGAATGCACAAAAACGACACCAAAAAGTTCTCATTCAGAGAGTCGCCGACAAACCCAATATTCCTATCCCTCATCAGACCCAGAAATCGAACCGGGTCGATCCGATGCAAAACGCAATCTTGAGGGACCCATTTCCAAGAATTGATGGTACCCATATTGTCCCTCTTGTTCCTTAAGCAGTTCCAGGCGTTTCTGTGAAATGGGCAGGTCTCATCGTACATGGGTCTGCGGTTGGGGTCTTGGACCCAATGGCCATTGAAGAGATTGCAGGAAGGTAAAGTGGGGATTTTCTTGTGTTGTGGGGATAGTGGAGAGGGGGTGTCGAAGGGGAGGAGTGAAGAGTAGATAAAGAGGAGCAGGAGGGTCAGTAGAATGAGCCATGGGAAGAGGGGTGAGAGTAGCTTGGGTGCCATGGTGAAGAAGCATTTGTCATCTATTTCTATTTTTGAGAAACAGAGAGAGAGGCTTCGAGCCTTTGGAAAAACCAATGTAATAGCATCTACAGTGGGGTTTGTAAATTCGGGGGTGTAAAGCTATTTTTACAAACCTTTTACACCTTTAGGGAGTGTAAATTCATTTTTTGCTTTAATGAGAAAAGATGTAAATCTAATATGTATAATTGTATTGTTTGTCTTAATTCGTTTTTGTGTTAAATTTGTATTTTGTGTTTACTTTATAAAATTAATTTTTTTTGTATTAGGTTAATATTATTTTTTCAAACAAATGGCCTTAAAAATATTTAAATTCGGAGAAGATATGGTTTCATTCAAAAAGAATCGTTGGATCGTAAAGTACCTAATAGGTTAAAGAATAGAAAATAAACAAAAAACCTAAAAATTAAAATCTAACTTTTAAATGCTGTTTTGGAAGCTTAAACGACCTCAAAAGCCAAAAATCCACCCTATATCACTACAAAGCAGTGAGTATGATTCGTGACGTCGTTCCTTTTTTGGGAAGGTATCATGGACCCCAATCGGAGCTCGAACACCAAATCTGTAAATTCCTATTATGTCCTTTTTCAATTTTTCATTCCAATAATTATGCCAATTTTATCCAGCAATTACTGTAGCTGCGGGTCCCAGCCGTTTATGCTGACTTTTCTTCTCTTTTCTCGAGTGGGTCCCTCCTGCAAGGGATGTAAATTTGGATGTAAATGTACATTTTATTTTACACCTCCAAGGTGGTGATGTAAATTTACATCCTTTTACACCTCTCCATTGGAGATGATTCCGGTGACTCGGGGTGTATATTTAACATACACCCCCATATACACCCCCCCACTGTGGATGCTTTAAGCTTCACCGCATGCCAATTTCTCTTCAGATCTGTTAGTTAAAATCCCATAAAAACATTTCTCTCTCCATATATATATATATAATGGTATAACATTCAAAATACCACAAAATGCATCTAGTTAATGCAAATATTAAGAACTAAAATTATTAATTAAATGAGGTCTATATATATAGAGAAAAAGGCAAAGAATGGTGAAACATTCAAAATACCTTGAAGAATACTAGTCTTACTACATTTCTATATCACAATTTTATACCACATGATGTGACAGTATTGGAATATGTAAACTAATTAACTGCTGCTGGAAACTCCTCGTCTTCTTACAGCTACTGGAAACTCTTCATCTTCCAACAGTTGTATTGTCTTGGTACTGTAAAAGCCTTTATTAATTCTAACAACTGTAAAAGGCTTGCATATATATGCAGCCTGTTGTACTGATATGATATGATGAATAAGAATCTAAAACTCCACCGGGGACGTAGGCTCTAAATTGCCCAACCTCGTTAAACTTGTGTTGTTCTGTTTTCTTCTTTTTCTCTGATTTCTACAGATAGCTAATGTGTATATACCGCATTAGCTAATTAATGTGGTTAATGCATTTTTTATATATATTAAAATATACTTTATTAATTTAATTAATGTGGCATATGATATGGACATGTCACATCATGAAGTATGGAAATGTGAGATAAAAATGTGTTAAGTGTTGCATTACTCTATCAGAAAATGTGTCTTTAATTAATATAAACATTAAGAATGAAAATTATCATAATTAAATGAGAATAATATGGTAAAGTCACACTTTTTCATATTTTAAAATTTTAAAATTTTAAACAAAATCAGATAATGCGTCATATTTTTATGAAACACAACCATTCATTATCTTTTTTAATTCTAAAATAAAAAATAATAAAAAATAAAACCAATTGGCTATCATATAGAAAGCAAAAGGCCCACATCAAAAAACAATAAAGCAAAAGATAGAAAATGATTATGAAACATTCAAAATACCAGAAAATGCTATTGGTTGATGCAAACATTAAAAATTGAAATTATTAATTAAATGAAAATAATATGGTCAATTTATATTTTTCCTATTTAAAAATTAAAATTAAAAACAAAATCAAATAAGGGATCCTATTTTTATGGAACATAACTAGTCATTTTATATTTTCTTAATTCTAAAATAAAAACAAAAAAAGAAAAAAGAAATCCAATTGGCACACGCATGGGCTAGTATATATATAAAACAAAAGACATAGAATGACAAAACATTCCAAATACCACCAAGGCACTTATTTAATGAAATCCCTACTATTATACAGTCCGGCGAAAACAGTTGAGCTCACAGGCTCCATGAAAAAAATTGGACAGAAACATCCGTGAAAAAAAAAAAAAAAACCAATAGCTCATGAGAAATTCATGTTTAGAATTTGGATGATTATTTTCATAAAAACACAGTAAAATAAGAAGAAGAAAAAATACAAACTCATAAAACTAGGCCAAATCGTGTGAAAGGTGCAGTTCCTTCTAGTTTTGACCCCACTTCCCTCACACCCCACATCATTCCTCCATCACAAAAAAATAATAAAATAAAATAATAAAATAAAAATAAAAATAAAAAATTACTACCAATACTTTTACAACTTCAAATAAACAACTAAAAGAAAGAAACAAATATAGAGGGATTAAGCATTCCGTGATTTTTTTTTTTTTTAAATTTACAATTACTATTCTTTGTAGTGATTAACAAATATACACAAAGTCATAAACTTATTATAATATTTGCATAACAAAATAAATAAATAAAAAGTTTAGAGAGTGATTAATATTTGCGAAGTAACAAAATGCACATGTATTTGAGAGAGGAAGCCAACGACAGCGAGCCAATTATGGTGTTGTAGAAGTCCAACAACCTAACATAGTGCCATTCAAGGAAGGCAGTAGCAACCACCCTAACATAGTGCCATTCAATGAAGGCATTAGCAATCAAGTTCCAAATACAATGTGCTTAAGTCATATAAGGCAACTAGCCCGTTAGAACATGATACAATTGCCTTATGGTGGAGTTAGACAAAATTTCAATAACAATGGTAATCACTCAATTCAACCTCATTCAATTTTGAAAATAACAACAATACCTTAACTATATGGACATTCATTTCTTCCTTATTCTTTAATACAGAAGATACAGGAGAGCACACATTCCAGTCTTTTAATGCTGAGAATTATGCTAATCACCCTAGCAATCAAGTTCGAAGTACAATGCACTTAAGTCATATAAGGCAACTAGCCTGTTCGAATTGGACACAATTGCCTTATGGTGGACTTAGATGTTAGTAGTATGCCCTTAAAGCCAAATAATTATACAATAATTAATGTTATGGATATTTTATGTAATGACTTATTAAGTTATTCATGGCCAAGACCAGTTGTTTACAACCATGATATTTGGCATATTCCATAACAGTAAAACAACTATAGTCCTAGGAATATGTAAGTGGATATGAGAACTATGTAATGAGATTGCATAGATCGCGACTTATCATGATCCCTAATCCTAAACATGTTCCTGGTCATAAGAGTACCAATTGGGCATTAATATTCCACCAAGACCAGTACACACAATATGTTCTCTATATGTAGAGAATGACGAGGTCTCAAGTCATTGAGTGTATCGCACCAAGATATGTATGTAGGTGCTTGCAGGAGAACAAGTACATTGAAGCGATCAAACTACAATGGAAGTCTGTACTCATATGTCAAACTAGAACTTATAGATTGTAATGGTGCAGACTAATCCTTAGACCTGAGACATTATAGATCTTGTGGCTATGTTGTTTGTCTTTGAAGGCACTACACAATTGTGTTGTAGGAGACATAACCTAAAGGTGTTTATCAGGACTCTCAATAAAGTCATGAAGGCAAATCAATGTACAACAAAGGATCTCTACTCTCAGTAAGGAGAGAAAATACTCCAAGGATATGATTAATCAAATCTCTACGCAGAGTAGTGGATAAGATTTAAAAGAAGAAGTCTTCAAATCATATAAAGGAATAATTCACATTAGGATATTCGACATTAGATTCTATTATCTAATAATGTGAATAAGGAGTATTGTGTAAGAGACGGATTCAATTGCATAGTGATTCCAATTTAAATAGGTTTTTCCCAACTTGGATAACCATGACATACTGCTAGGTGTCAACCATGGTTTGTGGAAGTCATGAAAGGTTTAGACTTAGCCGATCTGCACCAATAGGATGAATTAAATGTTAGATATGTGCCCTAGAAGCCAATATAAAAATGGATAATTCTAAGAAAATAATATATAATAATCAAATGGGCAAGAACGTTGCTTTAGATACATAACGTACACAAAGTAGCAAGTCCATGGATTAAGATATAAATGGACAGTAGTCTAAAGAAGTTAGATGCACGAGACCTTTCCATACGTATAAATATTGTATCCTAAAATGTTCATAGTCATAGGATCACCAATTGGACAATAGTGACCTGCAAAGACTGGTACACATTATGTCTGCTTAATTGGGAGGATGACCAGTCTCAAGTCATTTATGTAGAGACATTGAGACAGATGTGCAAGTGCTCTGTAGAAGATGGAGTCCCCTGAAAGCGATCAACTTTAGAATTCTTGTATGGAAGTCTTACCCACAAGTGTCAAACAAAGAATTCTAAGTAATGATAATGCAAATTAATCATTGGACCTAAGACATCACAGTTGTCTTGTGTATATGTTGTTTCTCTTTGAAAGCACTATATGGTCGTATCAAAATAATGTGACTTAAAGGTGTTCCTCAGAATTCTTAGCATATCCGCAGAGGCAGGTAAATCGTGAATGTACAACAAGGAATCTCTGCTCTTAGTAAGAAGAGAGAATACTCCAAAGATATGATTCGTGAATCTTTGGCCAAAGTATTGGATGAAAATTGAAACAAAAACTTTTACAATTTCATCAAATTGAATCATATAATCTAGAGATGTCATATTAGGGATTTTAACACAAGTTTACATATCCCGAGAACATGACATAGAGTATTAAATTAGAGAATGATCGAATTGCATTGTAATCACAAACTGACTAGGTTCTCTAAATGAATTCTTTTTAGCTTGGGTAGTGATGACATACTATTAGGTGTCACTAATGACTTGTGAAAGCCCTGTAAGGA